ACGCACACTCATACAGAAACACACACACTCATACAGAAACACCCACGCACACTCATACAGAAACACACACGCACATTCATACAGAAACACACACGCACATTCATACAGAAACACGCACACTCATACAGAAACACACACGCACACTCATACAGAAACACGCACACTCATACAGAAACACGCACACTCATACAGAAACACACACGCACACTCATACAGAAACACACACACACACACATACAGAAACACACACGCACACTCATACAGAAACACACACACACACTCATACAGAAACACACGCACATACAGAAACACACACGCACACTCATACAGAAACACACACACACATACAGAAACACACACACTCATACAGAAACACACACACACACATACAGAAACACACACACATACAGAAACACACACACTCATACAGAAACACACACACTCATACAGAAACACACACGCACACTCATACAGAAACACACACACTCATACAGAAACACGCACACTCATACAGAAACACACACGCACACTCATACAGAAACACACACACACATACAGAAACACACACACACATACAGAAACACACCCACACATACAGAAACACACACGCACACTCATACATAAACACACACACACACTCATACAGAAACACACACACTCATACAGAAACACACACACACATACAGAAACACACACATACAGAAACACACACGCACACTCATACAGAAACACACACACACACTCATACAGAAACACACACACTCATACAGAAACACACACACACACTCCCCCCCACTCCCCACCGGCCCCCCCCCCCTCCCCCGGGGACAGGAGACGGCGTCTGATTGGCGTCCAACGCCACCTTGGCTCCGCGGCCCCCTCTCGACGGAGAGAACGGCGCCAAGTGCGTGCGTGTGTGTGTATGTGTGTGTGTATGTGTGTGTATGTGTGTATGTGTGTGTATGTGTGTGTATGTGTGTGTGCGTGTGTGTATGTGTGTGTATGTGTGTGTATGTGTGTGTATGTGTGGATTTGCTGAGCATTTCTGTGAGGTCCTGGGGGAGGGAAAATCCCACAGCCAGGAAAACATCGTGGCACAAAGTGAGGATGACCCTGCTGAGGCTGCGGTGCCTCAAATATTGGATGAAGTCACCCCCTGTGAGTGGCTGGCTGAGGTGCCATCTGCTGAGGAAGTATTGAAGGCGATCAGGAGTCTGAGACCAGGAAAGGCAGCGGGCAGAGATGATCTCCCAAGCGAAATGCTGAGGGAGGGTGGCGTTTGTGCACAGACTGCCCTATATGACATCATAACAACAGTCTGGACCACTGGACGGGTTCCGCAGGATTGGAAGGATGCCCTGGTGGTCCCCCTTTTTAAGAAGGGGGACCGCACAGACTGTAACAACTACAGGGGCATCTCACTCCTCAGTGTGCCGGGAAAGGTCCTGGCAAGGATTATTCAGCATCGCCTTGCCAGGCACGCTGAGGAGAGGCTTGCGGAGCCCCAATGCGGTTTCAGGAAAGGGCGGTCCTGCACAGATGCCATATTTTCTGTCCGTCTGCTACAGCAGAGGTGTAGGGAATTCCAACAAGACCTACATCTCTGCTTTATTGACCTGGTCAAGGCCTATGATACCATCAGTAGGCCTGGGCTCTGGGTCGTTCTTCGTGCTTTTGGAGTACCTGACCCTCTGCTCACGATCATTAAGGACCTTCATGATGGTGAGCGGGCCCGGGTAAAACTACGTGGCCGGGAGTCAGAGCCATTCCCTGTACACCTTGGGGTGCGACAGGGATGTCCTCTGGCTCCCACATTATTTAACATCTATTTTGACCACGTAGTTCGTGAAGCCTTCAATAGCTGTACCGGGGGAATCTCCATATGGTACAGATATAATGGGAGGCTAATCGATGCCCGGGTGCGGTCAAGGGATGGCTCCCTATTGCTCAACCACGTTATGTATGCTGATGACTTGGTAATAGCTGCTCAGTCAGAGGAGGAGTTGGAGACGCTGCTGCTGAGACTGGAGCGTGCCACTAAGAGGTGGGGCCTTACCATCAGCCCCACCAAAACTAAGCACCTGCCTGGGTATTTTGTACCATCGGACACTCCACCCCCACAACTCCCAATCGGTGATGGGGCAGTTGTGGAGAGAGTGGAGAGTTTCCCATACCTGGGCAGTGTGCTTATGACTGGCTCCAGTTTAACAGCAGAGGTCTCACTCCGAATCAGTCGAGCGGCAATATCTTTTCATCGGTTGCGTAACGCTGTGTGGAAGCTACCTGGTCTGTCGCTCCGCACTAAGCTTCAGGTCTTCTCGGCCACGGTCATTCCCTCCCTTCTCTACGCTTGCGAAACGTGGACCCCCCTAATGGAACATCTTCGCCGGTTAGAAACATTTAGGCTGACCTGCCTACGATCCATCCTGGGTTTAACCAGACTGGATTGTGTGAGGAGCTCACAAATCCTTGAAAGATCTGGGCAGGGTCCCATCGGTGAGCTCCTCCGGCAGGCAAGGCTGCGATGGCTGGGTCATGTAGCCCGCATGCCCAGCCACCGCATGCCGAAACAGCTTTTGTTTGGCCGGATTGAGGGGGCTAAGCGGGCGCGGCACGGGCTAGAGAAGAGATGGAGTGATGTGGTACAGGAGGACGTGGAGCTGAGTGGACTTGCCGATGACTGGTACCAGCGGTGTCAAGATCGGCCTCTGTGGAGGAGGCTCGTGAAGGATGCTACTGGGCAGTTGGAGGCAGTCGCCCTCCAACAACAACGGAGGGCGGAGGAGCGACGCTCACAACAGCGAGCCGAGCGCCGGGTGGCTAAAGCACAGCAGGTTGGCACAGTAGGGGGCACAGGTGGTGCATCAGCCAGTCATCTCAGTCAGTCGACCCGTGGCACCTGGGTCTGCCCCGTGACCTCCTGCCAGCGGGCGTTCGACACTTCACGTGGCCTCAGGGTGCACATAGCCTGGCACAAGCGTCGTGGTGACGTCACCGCCACTTAGTGGCGAATGGCGGTTGTTGTTGTTGTTGTTGTGTATGTGTGTGTGCGTGTGTATGTGTGCGTGTGTATGTGTGTGTATGTGTGTGTATGTGTGTGTGTATGTGTGTGTGTATGTGCGTGTGTATGTGCGTGTGTATGTGCGTGTGTATGTGCGTGTGTATGTGCGTGTGTATGTGTGTGTATGTGTGTGTATGTGTGTGTATGTGTGTGTGTATGTATGTGTGTATGTATGTGTGTATGTGCGTGTGTATGTGCGTGTGTATGTGCGTGTGTATGTGCGTGTGTATGTGCGTGTGTATGTGTGTGTGTGTGCGTGTGTATGTGTGCGTATGTATGTGTGTGTATGTGTGTGTGTATGTGTGTGTGCGTGTGTATGTGCGTGTGTGTATGTCTGTGCATGTGTGTGTATGTGTGTGTGCGTGTGTATGTGTGTGCGTGTATGTGTGCGTGTGTGTGCGTGTATGTGTGCGTGCATGCGTGTGTGTGTATGTGCGTGCGTGTGTGTGTGTGCGTGCGTGTGTCTGTACGTGCGTGCGTGTGCGTTTGTCTGTGCGTGTGTGTGCGCGTCCGTGTATGTGCGTGCGTGCGTGTGTGTGCGTTCGCGTGAACCGGTCCTGGGCCTCCCTTAGGTCGACTCAGCCTGAAATGCGTACCTGGTGCGGTGTGTAAACATCGCCACTGGGGAGACAAAGGCGGTCGTGTACCGTTCCGGCCTGCATAGGTGCTTCTCGCTAACAGCACTTCCCCCTACAGCCTGTTAAGACTACATGAGGGATATTTGCCTTTTGCGTGTCTGCAACATAGACCATTCCACCGGATGTCGGGAATTACCCCATAGATGGACTCAGCATAAAAAAGTAGCGCCTACTGGTGATGCGATCGTGAGCATCCGCTCCGGAGAGAGAGTGGGACAAAATCCCTCCTGAGATGTGTGCAAACCTGGTGGCCAACTACAAGAAACGTCTGACCTCTGTGATTGCCAACAAGGGTTTTGCCACCAAGTACTAAGTCATGTTTTGCAGAGGGGTCAAATACTTATTTCCCTCATTAAAATGCAAATCAATTGATAACATTTTTAACATCCGTTTTTCTGGATTTTGTTGTTGTTATTCTGTCTCTCACTGTTCAAATAAACCTACCATTAAAATTATAGACTGATCATTTCTTTGTCAGTGGGCAAACGTACAAAATCAGCAGGGGATCAAATACTTTTTTCCCTCACTGTATAGGCAATGCATTGTATCACACACACGCGTGTATGTATAGCCAATGCATTGTATCACACACACACGTGTATGTATAGCCAATGCATTGTATCACACACACACACGTGTACAGTATGTATAGGCAATGTATTGTATCTCACACACACACACGTGTATGTATATCCAATGCATCGCATCACACACACACACGTGTATGTATAGCTAATGCATCGTATCACACACGTTTCTGTATATCCAAAAGCAAAGACAAAGATCCCCCGTATAGCCTTAACAAACTGTAGGGGCAAGTGCTGTTAGCGAGCACATATGAAGGCTGGCACGGCACACAAGGGTGTGGGTGGCCATCACCACGCCCGACCACCTTTGTCTCCCCAGTGACGATGTTTTTTTCTCACCGCACCAGGTACTCATTTGAGGCCGAGTCGACCTAGGTGAGGCCCGGGACCAGATCAGATAATAAGACATTCATTGCAAGCAACAATCGAACTTGGGTCACCGGGTTCGTAGTGCAGGACGTTCCGATACACTCCGCACTCAACAACAACAACAACCGCCATTCGTCACTGAGCGGCGGTGACGTCACCACGGCGCTTGTGCCAGGCTAGGTGCACTTTGAGTCCACGTGAAGTGTCGAAGGCTCGCTGCTAGCAGGAGGTCACAGGACAGACCCTGCATGTGCTCATGGGTTGACTCACTGAGAAGACTACCGCGAAGAGACAAAGACTCAGGTACACACACGCGTGTACATGTCACCCCGAGGTGGCACTCACCTTGGAAGAACATCAGGAAGACGAACGCCACTCCGCACACCAGGTAACTCGTATCCATCTCGACGCACCTTCTTGGCAGCTCAACGATCAGCTGATGATGCTGCTGCTGATGACGATGTTGATGATGCTGCTGCTGCTGCTTATACCGCTAGCGTTGCGCGCGACCGACGCAGCTGCTGCTGATGATGATGAATGATGGTGCTGCTGCTGCTGATGATGATGCTGTTGTTTGCGCTGCAATAGCAGCTGTTTATGACGCTGCTACTGATGACGATGATTCTGCTGCTGCTGCTGCAGCCTGGGCTGTATCTGATCTTCGCACTTGGACTGCGCTATCGGAGATTTCAGCATCCAGTTTGTTTTTGGTTGGCGTCCGTCGATGTCGCTCGAGCAGCGGTGACTGCGGATGAGCGTGGTTGCGGTTAACGCGGTTGTGGCTATTGTATTATCGGCAGTCTTATTGTGAGCATTATCTCCGTGGCTACTGATCGCCCGATGCTGCCGCTGCTGCTGTTGTTGTTGCTGTTAATGACGGCGCTGGTGGTGCTTGTGGTGGTGGTGGTTTTGGTTTGACAGGATGAGAGGGAGAGGATAAAAGAGGGGGGCCGACGCTGCTGCTGCTGATGATGCTGCCGATGATACTGCTGATGATGCTGATGATGGTAGTGGTGGTGCTGGCGAGAGATGTTTGTTACGTAAGCTATAGGCGACTACCAGAATCTTAGCCGAGTGAGGAGGAGAGAGGGTACCGACTGTGTGTGGTGACCGCGGGATGGAGAGCGAGCGAAAGAGAGCGAGAAGGGAGATAGAGAGGGAGGGAGGGGGAAGAGAGAAAGAGCGAGAGATGGTGGGTGGGGGTGGGAGAGAGAGAGGGAGCGAGAGGGAGAGAGATGGTGGGTGGGGGTGGGAGAGAGAGGGAGCGAGAGGGAGAGAGAGGGGGAGAGATGGTGGGTGGGGGTGGGAGAGAGAGATGGAAGAGAGGGAGCGAGAGGGGGAGAGATGGTGGGTGGGGGTGGGAGAGAGATGGAAGAGAGGGAGCGAGAGGGGGAGAGATGGTGGGTGGGGGTGGGAGAGAGATGGAAGAGAGAGAGAGCGAGAGGGAGAGAGATGGTGGGTGGGGGTGAGAGAGAGATGGAAGAGAGGGAGCGAGAGGGAGAGAGATGGTAGGTGGGGGTGAGAGAGAGATGGAAGAGAGGGAGCGAGAGGGAGAGAGATGGTGGGTGAGGGTGAGAGAGAGATGGAAGAGAGAGGGCGAGAGGGAGAGAGATGGTGGGTGGGGGGTGAGAGAGAGATGGAAGAGAGGGAGCGAGAGGGAGAGAGATGGTAGGTGGGGGTGAGAGAGAGATGGAAGAGAGAGGGCGAGAGGGAGAGAGATGGTGGGTGGGGGTGAGAGAGAGATGGAAGAGAGAGGGCGAGAGGGAGAGAGATGGTGGGTGGGGGTGAGAGAGAGATGGAAGAGAGGGAGCGAGAGGGAGAGAGATGGTGGGTGGGGGTGAGAGAGAGATGGAAGAAAGGGAGCGAGAGGGAGAGAGATGGTGGGTGGGGGTGAGAGAGAGATGGAAGAGAGAGAGCGAGAGGGAGAGAGATGGGGGAGAGGGAGGGGGAGAGAGTGAGAGGGGGGGGAGTGCACGAGAGAGAGAAGGTGGAGCGGGGCGAGATGGATGGAGTTAGATGGTGGGAAAGAGAGAGGGGTGGAGAGAGAGGGGGGGGGGGGAGAGTTGGGGGTGGGGGGTAGTGGCGGGGGGGGAGAGTGCGGGAGACGAGAGCGGGAAGGAGAGAGAGGACACGGGGGGAAGGAGAAAGCGACATGCAGCTGAAGATAAATTCTGAGATGTAAAACAAAACACACACAACACAAAACACCACACACACACAACACACCACACACACAACACACCATACACACAACACACCACACACACAACACACCATACACACAGCACACCACACACACAACACACCACACACACAACACACCACACACACACAACACACCACACACACACAACACACCACACACACAACACACCATACACACAACACACCACACACAACACACCACACACACACAACACACCACACACACAACACACCACACACACAACACACCATACACACAACACACACAACACACACAACACACCACACACACAACACAAGAGCGGGAATGCATTGGGCGTGGGCGCTCGAACGGTTGGGGCAGAGGGAGAGTCAGCGACGGACGGCATCTGTCGGGTCGACACCCTCGGGGCGCGCGAGAGGGTCACGACACCGTCCCATGGCATGCACAGCGGAGCGTCCTGCACGACGTGCCGACCACGACGACGATGATGATCATGGGGGGAGTGGGGGCAATCATTAGCGACGTCGAATGGTGACTTGAGAATCGTAGAAACGTGGCCTGTTGGTGGGGGGAGGGCAGAGTAGGAGGGAGTGCGTGGGAGTTCTGGGACGAGTCTTCATTAACGCTCTGCTCTCCCCTCATCCCCGTCCTATCGCGACGAGGGCGGAAGCTCGCTCGCTCGCTCCTCTTTCATCCCCGGTCCTCCATCCATCCCCCTCCCAGTCTCGCTCTCCCCTTCGCTCTCCCTCTCTACCCTCTGCCTCCTCCCTTCCTCCATCCCCCTCACTCCCACCCCTCCCCGCTCTTCTCCCCTCTCCTCCTCCCTGTCTCGCTCTCCCCTTCTCCCTCCCCTCTCCCTTCCTCCATCCCTCTCCCTTCCTCCATCCCCCTCTCTCCCACCCCTCCCCGCTCCTCTCCCCTCTCCTCCCTGTCTCGCTCTCCCCTTCTCCCTCCCCTCTCCCTTCCTCCATCCTTCATTCCCCTCCACTCCCCGCTACCACTCGTCCCCCCACTCGTCCCCCCCACCCATCCCCCCGCTATGCACGAGGCGCAGAGTTCATCTCTCTCGCTCCTCTATCGCGGCTCCCATTGGCCGCGCCGGGACCACGTGCGCCTCCAAATCCGCAGCGCGCGCTCTCCCCCCATCTCCCTCCAGCTTTCCATTCCCCCTCTCAATCTCCTTACTCACCGTCTCCCTCCCTCCCTCTCTCCCTACAGCTCCCTCTCTCCCTCTCTCTCTCCCTACAGCTCCCCTCGCCCCCCCCATCTCCCTCCAGCTTTCCATTCCCCCTCTCAATCTCCTTACTCACCGTCTCCCTCTCTCCCTCTCTCTCCCTACAGCCCCCCCCCCCCATCTCCCTCCAGCTTTCCATTCCCCCTCTCAATCTCCTTACTCACCGTCTCCCTCTCTCCCTCTCTCTCCCGACAGCTCCCCTCGCCCCCCATCTCCCTCCAGCTTTCCATTCCCCCTCTCAATCTCCTTACTCACCGTCTCCCTCTCTCCCTCTCTCTCCCTACAGCTCCCCCCCCATCTCCTCCAGCTTTCCATTCCCCCTCTCAATCTCCTTACTCACCGTCTCCCTCTCTCTCCCTACAGCTCCCCTCGCCCCCCCCCCTCTCCCTCCATCACCCCCCCCCCACACCTCTCTGCACCTCTCTATGATTATCAACGTCGCACCCTCTCCTTCCACCTCGCCCCATCTCCCCACTCTCGCAACGTCTCTCCGTCCATCTCATTTGCTCCAGATCTCTCCTCGGCCCTTCCTCTCTTCGCGTGTTCCCTCCCGCTCTCTCGATCCCCCGCCCCAACCGCTTGCCCCTTCCCGTTCCTCGCGTCCGCTATCCTCCATAATAGATGGGGGGGGGAGGGGGTTGGGGTTAGATCGCGTAAATGTATAAATGTGTCGTTAAAACCCGCCACCACCCGACACAGCCAACTTGTAAGGGGTTGTCACGTAAACAGAACGTGGCCAATTCGTCACTAGTACAGCAGCACACCGGTGTGTTGGAGAGCCAAGCGTGTTTTATTGGCAGAATGGGCAAAACCTCCTCTTATTTTTCATCCTCTTGAGGCTTAACGGTGGGGGAGGGGAGGGGTGGGGGGCTGCGCTTTTGCCTTCGACAAAAGCGCAGCTCCTGCAACTTGCTCGCTCGCGCCACCACCGCTGACAGACGCCTCACCACCGAAGTTGAACGCCGGAGAAGCAAGGGGCCCCCCACCCCACTTTGTCTAGAGAAAGTGGCTTCGTCTCTCGTGTTCCGCGCTGGGAGACGTGGGAGTGCCCACACTTTAACACCCTCCACGTGGCTTCGTGTCAACAAAAGTGACGTCACGCCCGAAGCCACGCCCGTGATGTCATTGTCCGTCTTTTGTTGTGCGTGATGACAGCAGCAATATAAAATTGTGTGTTTTTTTTTTAATTTGTATTTTTTGTGAAAGTAATTTATTGACTTTACTTAAAGCTTTCGTGACTGCAGGAATTCATAGTCGTTGGGTCTTTCGGTAAAGCCACGTTGATAGGTTCAAAGAAAATAACAAAATAAATCACGAAAGACGACGTTTCGAGCGCAACACGAGCGTTCGTCATCTGGCGTGTTTCTTCCTGATGACGGTCGCCTGTGTTGCGGTCGAAACGTCGTCGGTTTTTCGTCATTTTTTGCTATTGTGACCTTACCGAAAGACCCCAAAGAATGTCAGCCATTTGTTCGAGCGAAGTCATGTTTTATGAACGCTCCGAAACGGAATGTTTGCAAGCCGAGCCTGATGATTATTTCATTTGTATTCGTTTTCTTCGTTCTGTTCCTGATCGACCTGAAGTCTTGAACACAACCCCTACCGAATACCCTGCGTGTATTTTTCGCCTGTATATATGTGTGTGTATGTATGTGTGTGTATGTGTGTGTGTATGTGTGTGTGTATATGTTTGTGCGTGTATATTCGAGTGAGTGAGAGTGCGACTGTGAATCCGTGAGTGGGTCGCGTCCTGGAGTTATTGCGGTTTAATCGCAGCGTGCGGACACGGGGTCACGAGCAACGTGGACCCTCCCCGTGTGTCATGTCACGGACGACTATGGGAGTGGAGGGAGGGGAGGGGAGGAAGGGAGGGGGGGGAGGGAGGGGGGAGGGAAGGAGGGAGGGGGAGAGATGAGGGGGGAGGGAGGGGGAAGGGAAGGAGGGAGGGGGGGGAGAGATGAGGGAGGGAGGGGAGGGAGGGGAGGGGGAGGGAGGGGAGGGGGGAGAGGGAGGGAGGGGAGGGGAGAGGGAGGGGAGGGAGGCGAGGGAGGTGAGGGGGGGAGGGAGGCAAGGGAGGGAGGGGGGAGGGATGGGAGGGAGGGAGGGTGGGAGGGGAGAGAGGGAGGGGAGGGAGAGGGGGGAGGGAGGGGAGGGGCGAGGGAGGCGAGGGGCGAGGGAGGCGAGGGAGGGTGGGAGGGTTGTTAACAATCATTCGCCTAAGGGGGGAGGGATGCCAGTCAGAATTATCGATTGATTGATTGGCGGGTCTGTGATCGCCATGATAGTAAAACGAGTTCAGGGCCTCCATATTCGTACGTGCGGAGTGTCTGAAATGCAACCGCGTCGCGCGGCGCTTTCAGGCGCGCAGCTTCTGCGGCCGTCTGGAACGCCCCTCCCTTCCGATATTAGAAAGCCACCGCGAGCTATGCCACTTTAAAATCATCTACGTTTTAAACCGTCTAGATTTTACTGCTTTATTAGGTTTTGTCTGATGCCCTTCCCCCGCGCCTCCGATTAGCACGGTTGGCTATGTACGATGCGAACGACGTTCAACAGACACACGTACACACGAAGATCAAGGTCCCCCGTATAGCCTGTTCGGCATATTCTGTTTAGCGAGTAGCACCTATGAAGGTCGGCACGGCACACACTTGTACACACATAATGGAAATTAAAAAGAGGTTTTACCCTTTCTGGCAATGAAGCAGGTGTTAATATAATATTGGTTCTTTCGGTAAAGTCACGTAGAATGGAAATAATAAAATAATA